GAATATCCCCTGAAACCACTCGGGACTGAACCAGAGTATTCGAAGTAAGAAGAATACGTCATAACTGAGACATATTGCTTTTAACGTGCGCAATGCCTTGTTTATAAATTGGAAACTTGAGCTTTATCGACTTTTTCAACTTTCGGTGATGTGACACTGTAAATTGAATAGCCCTAATTTGTTTTGACAATTTAACGTCCGTGTGCAGTTGCTTTGTGTCACGGTTCGAAGGAAAAAGTTGAGCCTTTATGAACGAAATTTTTATGCCTCTTTTTTTTAGCACAAAGTTCTCTTTCGCGAATACCACAATCATATACGTAACACGTAATATCCCACGCTTTTTGCCAATCATGTGACGGCCAGGCTTATTTCCCTCCAAAAATGGTTGCTTCAAATTTTCACCAATTATACCTCAAACTACAATTAAACAAAATTGACCTTGTTTATTAAAATTATATGTTTATCAATTATTAGTAAAAATTATGATTTTTTATAATTCCACGTTCTTTGGATTTACGATTCGAGGCAACTCAAACTGCTGAAAAGAGAAAATTACGCGACCAAACGCCAGGTGTTTCTCCTCACTGACAGTCCTTGTAAATTGTATGCGTGGTGCCTTAACCTAACTCATAGAGAACCTTTTCTTTGCTTTCTATCCTAATCGTACATAAGGGCTCACACAAAGGCCAGCTGGGTCTACTGATGACCGTCTGTCTCCACTCCCATGCAGGTAGTATGGGAGGTGAGGAGGAGGGGACACAACACAAAGTTTGATCACCGCTGTGTCCACCTAGCCTGCTATGCAGCAGGCACTGGGGCCTCTTTCCCCAGGGTGACGCTGACAACTCACCTCCATACATGACTGAAATTAAAATATGTCTAATTTTAGTTCTTTTCGTGGCATAGTGCTTAGACACAGGAATAACTTTTACGTAAAACGTGTCATATTTATATTACGTGCGGTTAATCCGGATTCGCGTTAGATGGGTGAGGAGGAGGACTCTTGGAAAATGTACCATATTCTGAATTCGCCAGACACTGCAATGAAACTGAAACTTCAATGGGGCAGTCGGTCTACAACGGATATTTACGAACTTCAAGCATACCTACGACTTAGGAGAGAAATAGGTCCTGTAAGGTATACCACAAACCTAGTTACGCTATTTAACAAACCTATAGCAAGTTAGCTTTGAGGTTCCCACGACAGCGAGTATGAAGATGGCTGCCTTTTGGGTTGCTAGGTCGTAGTTTACAGACGTTCCAGAGGTTCTTGCTGCTTCCACGATCGGGGCGAACTTCTATCAGACAAGGTGCAACAGCCCAAAAGACAGACATCTTCAAAACTATAGCAAATAAAAGCTACATAAGCCGACATGTAATAATACGTATTTTGTTCATTTAAAACTACGAAACACACTTTCAATTCTTCTCCTGGCGTAAGACAATGACATATAACGTGGTGGATAAACAAGAAGTTGTACGGTATAAATAAAAGTGAAGGCTAAGTTCCGTGCATTATTAACCTCGGCACTAGAAAGGGCTGGAAAGTCAGTCAGCTTCAGGCTTCGGCCGCTCTGCAGTATGCTGGGTGGAAACCAGAGGCCGTCTAAAGATGGCGGCAAAGACAATAATAATGACACTTCCGTCAGGAATCCAACATAGGTCGTCCAGCCAGTCACTGCTCAATTAGCTAACTCGGTTCACACAATCTAATATATTTAAAGTAGGCCGGGTATTAGAATGTCTCTGGCTACTTACTACACAGAAAGAACGGGCTGTTCATTAGAAGTTAAGTGGTTTCTACAAATACCAGAAGATGGTGCCGTAGGCGTAAAGAAAACTAATTCCTTGGATCATGCTAAGTTCACAAGGGAAAACATGTTAGACTTAACTGAGCTCACACAAAAGGTTATTCACGCGTTCCTGGTACAACGCACAGTCTATTGTCTTGAAACACATGGTGACAGTATTGTTAACTCCTGAATCCATGGAACACAGTCCTTTTTGAGAAGCTAATATTTGCTCAGCACGTCAAGAAACGTCCTGCGTTTTCTAGAACCCAAAGATTCATTACCATATTTAGAAGAGTCCGCCACCGGTCCCTGCCCTAAGCCAAATACGAGTAAATCCAGCCCACTCTGCCATTATAATTTTTCATGTTATCCACCTATGTACGCCAAGGTTTTCCCTGTGGTCTCTTCCCATTAGATTTTCCGACCAAAACTTGTTCGCATTTCACGTAGCTTCCATGCGTACTGCATTTCCTGCCCATCTCACCGTCCTTATTGGTTCATACTAATACCTATTAATTCCTATCAAAATACTTTTAGCGTTAACTACGGCTTCGTTGCGGGAAATATCAAAATTCAAGTAACAAATGGTACCATTTGTTACTTGAATTTTGATATTAGTAAAAACACAGACTCATGCAAGACGCATAAACGAAAACGCAGACCCATTATGATTAAACATTACGTTCCATTATTCTTTTACGATGCTGTGTCATCAGCTGAGTCCGTGAGCATGGTTTGGGTGAGACGGAACAGATCGTTGTTTGCGTTGTAGTCAACACTTTTCTCAAAAAGCAATGCCAGTGGTAACAGGCAAAATTATCTAAGAATTACTACACCAGTAAGACATACACGCATATAAGAGTTGGCTGACAATAAATCACTAGGCACCGCTGTAAACCGGGGAAACAGTACCTGGCACTCAAAGGTAGAGGCTGGGTGGCTCCAAACAGCCGGCTACGAGAAAGATATCTCTCTTCCGGATATCGAACCTCGGCCTGTCATCGTCCTCTTTATGTAAAATGTGATTAGGAACTGGCTGTGTCTAATGTCTAATGTATAAACAGTTATTATTCTAAATATCTGCATAAACACACGTGGTATGGTGTTTATATAAAAGCTTAGCTCTTCATTACAAATTGCTTTTTCCTCGGTGGGACTATACTTTACTTTCGTGCCACTCGTGGCTTTTCGGCGTCGAAGAGTAGGATTTACTGAACCGGCAAATACCCACTTTTCAGCGTACAAGAAATTTCCGCTTTCATGAAACTCAAACGTTCGTCACCGTGTTCACAAACTTCATATTGTACTTCCCGAAGATCATTTTCATTTTCCCGCCACCTCCAAAGTTTCTCGTGTTCTCTCTTCCTTCGACAATTTCTGAACCAATTGTTGTGTGCATCTAATTAGGCATCAATACTGTGTTAACTGAGCAGTAGAATATCGCTGGCCACTGGCCAATTTCGTTCAATGTGTGTAAAATTGACTCTGACTTGGAAGAAGATCGTAAATCAAAATGCATGTTTCTATTTGCTGATGAACTCCCTTTCCTCGCCATAGTTATCAATGTATGCAGTTATCTGAGGTAACCAAGCATCACGGTGAAGTAAATAACTTTTCCAAGTCAGCAGGTCATTGACCTATTTAACAAAGTTAACAGCAACTTCTGTTCTTCAAACAATAGTAAAACTTTTCATTTATGTTCCCTGTACTCGAAGTGACCCTGAGCCAAATTCTGGAATTTAACTGCTTATTGTAAGCGACTGCTTCAAACATGCACAGAACACTTATCTCGAAACAAACAAACCCAACGGAAAAGTACTGTTTTGTAAACAATTATGGGGGAAAATCTGCGTCTCCTTTCCTTGAAATCAATCATCTACGCCTTAAGACTATTAAGAATAACATGAGTAATTGTTTGCCCTAAAATTTAGTGATAAATATCTGTGCATCTTTTCTATCTGCAGATGTTTCCACTGCACTAAATTTGTCAGACATAACCTTAAAGTGAGCACCGTGGCCATGTTTATAATAGTTAACAAGATAAAGATGTTTTAGGCAGACTGTAGTTATATTTTCATGACCAATGTCAGTACGAAACGTTTCGTGTGTAAATGCAAAGAATGTGAATGTACTTGAAGATGGAGTTAAATCTCGTGTGTTTAGCCTATGAATGCTAACTAAGGTCGTTCTAGTTATGTGAATGATATCAAAACGAGCAATATTCTGTAAGGTGATTATGATGGTAATGGTAGGTGAGGCTGCAGCTGTTACTACTAAATGTTGTTATTACTGTCATTATTATAACCCACAATCACAGTATTACGCATCATTAAGTGGTCTTGCATTTCTAAAACAAAACTACACGATTTAAGAAAATCAAGAGTTACACAGACAGTTATTTAGTACCTCTCTTAGAGAAGGTTTATTGCATGTTTTTGAAAACATATTCTTCTTAAGATGGTGTTTGATCTGTTAAAACACCTCAAGTGGGCCTAGTAAGTGTCTTGCTTGAGTCTTTTGGAATCAGTTTGTTGAATCGATATACCGACACAACTTACAGTTTATGAAATTTTCACTTTTTAAAAATTATATCTGTATCCTCTCTTTTCCGATTTCTTTCACGTTTTTCCAGAAGAAATTCTCATGTCGATAATTTTTACTTTCTTCTCAGTGTTATTTATAATCAAAATGCCAGGTTTATTATTTTTTGGCATAGGGAAGTCATTTATTATTAAGTTCTATTATTATTACACGAAGGAGGAAGGCAGATAAGAATTACATAACTGCATGTGTCAGCAAATCGAACTTAATAACATGTCACAATCTACACTAAACTAACCTTCTAGGGGCCATATAATAGTAAGAGTTATATGGCATGCTTATTTGTAATTTTATGTATGAACAACATAGCAGATAATACATTATGCCATGTATAACCATCATCCTGCATCCGGAAATGTCTGTTGGAAATACATAGTTTTGAATCCTATCGGGTACATGTTAATTAGAATGTAACCTGTCCTCATGTTTGGGTAACATAGTAAACTCTGGACTTCGGCTTTCTGAATCATACTGAAGGGACAAATATCATTAAATGTATCTAGTTTCTGGGGTACTTAGAGAGTTTCGATGCTAAATGAAACAGTAGTCAACCCAGAATATATTACCCACACATGACAGGCCTTACTACAAAATACTTCATTTTACCTTGTTTTGCCCCATGTCGATGAGTATGTAGACCAATAAGACAATCTCCTCTTCATCGGCGCCCAAACCGGGCCCTTGCTGACCAGCGGTAGCCACGTACAACACACAGAGATACGGTGCTTCCATCATAATTGTTGTTTTGTTGCTAAGGAACACTACTCAGATAAAACACTACCGACACATCATATCTTTCTGTCACAGTTATTCTGCTACACTTCAGCGTTGAAAATAAATTTCGTTTCACAGTAAAATTCTAGTTCAGTAAGTTTCAATAGATCTGCAATGCACTATAATACGACGAATCAGTGTTTATTTACATAAAGATATCACAACTCTCCACAAACAAAAATAAGTTGTATGTCTTAACTGAAGTAAATCTCCAGCAACAGAATGGATATACGTGTTGATACACGAAATGAACAAATAACTTAAGTGGCAAGATGGATTCTTGTAATTACGTATTACGAGACATTTGTCGAAGTGATTTCACGTACATATTCACTGATCACGTACGTTGGTCAATAAATTACGTTATGGAAGTAATGGACGGATTATATTTTCACATTATACGTACAATTCGGTTAACCGGAATAATCACACTTTCTGCATATGGTCGGCGTACGTAAATCGTGGACGCATTTTCTCTTAAATTCATTACAATTATCAAAAACTAAATTACTCTGCTTAAAACACATGAGGTTTCACTTCACAACCATGTACCAGGTAGTAAACACAAAATAAACATAAAAACCTAAAAATCTTCCTGTAATCGAGTCACGCGGCTTACTTACGTGTGGTTACAAAACTTTCAAATTGCTTACGTCGATCCGAATAGTCGGATTATTTCACTCTTTGCTTACTATACTGTCCTTAATGTACGTCCGATACTGGCGTTTTCTACTTTCGAAAACATGTTCTGGAATTTGAATATTCGGATATGTAAACGTTTTCGTGTGTTGATCGTTTGGCGTTTCCCAGTTACAAGACTGAGTTACAGTGCATCAGCACTCCAAACCGAAACCTCTCCCCGCCAGGGAAAGTGAAGAACAAGCAGGTAGGAAAGGTAAGTCCAAAGCTGTTAGTACGAAAGATATACTGCCACGACTTCAAACCAGTTGTATTACGATCTGTGAGTACAGTGCTTGCTTACCTAGCACAACAACGCAGCAGACTACCATATGCAGTGTTTGTTTCTATAGTAACTTTCAGTGAAGTTTTTCTTTTCTGAAAGGAGTACGAATACAGTTGGAAATATTAACGTAACTGGTAATAAAACAATGGAGATGGAGTAGCTGGTGGTATTAATATTTTAGCCGACCATTTATCTACAAAATATGCATAAATATATTTACCCAAGTTTTATTTATGCTCGTAGTATTACGTTTTAGTCCAGCCTTATAAAAGACCGGTATCATGAAATAACAACCACGCCTATATAGAATCTTTATGATTTGGAATTGGGTTTGTGTTCGCCTAAACTGTGTTTTCCTCTTTGAGGAGAAAGGAAAAAATACATTTCATGCCTATGAGCGAAAAGAATATGATGAAACTTTTATACACCATATCCTATTACGAAAGAAAGATAGAGAAAAATATAGTAATTTAAAAATATTTGTATCTATTTACATATATTGAAGTACATTACTTAAACGTAAGTAAATATTTATTTGTATTATGCTCATTCTTGTGGAACACCGTGAGATGGCGTCTTTTATTCTTGTTCTGCATATTTGCACAGAGACAGAAGTACAAAATATCTAACCATGAAATCGGGCTTATAGATTGGTTTCGTTTACTATGCAAGCGTAACCTAATAACGTTGCCTTGATGCTTGTAACAACTACATAATATTCATACAATATTTGTTGGTATGTTTATCACCAACTACATTTATAATAATTGTTTTTTATAATTATATCACTACTTATCTTAAAAAGTCTAAATACGAATGATTTTCGACAGGTCGTTGTGTTTCCGTTACAAAAGACTTTATCGGAATAAATAAGCTTATTACAAAAATATGTCTTTCTAAAAATAAATATTCTCTCTCCTGTAAGAAAATTTGAAACAAACACATGTATACAAAATAAAATTTAAGCTCAGTTTCATCAATACAAATTTGTTATTCAGTAAATCTCGTAAATTATTTAATGTTTCTATATTGGTTGTTGAAGACTTTTAAACTAGGTATATTTATAACCAGTACTAAATTATGGAGAAAAAGTCGAAATAAAACAAAGGGATAAAGCTGACTTAGTATCTGAAGTCCTGTTCTGTATCAATGAAACCAAAACGGCATATATTGACATCCGATGATATTACGCTTTGTATTATAACTTCTGCTAGACTTGAGGGAATCATAGCACTTTCAGCACTATCAGCTTAGTCTATGAATTCGCGAAACCAATAAAGTGGTTGCTACTCGAAAACTGTTTCGTGAGGAACTCAATAATTCGTGTTGTTCACCAAACACAGTTACGATTATCACATCAAGGAGAGTGAGATGGACTGGACATACAGCTAGCATTTGAAACACAATACAATCTTAACTGGAAAACCTGAAGGAAAGAGACCAACTGGAAGACCCAGGAGTAGATGGAATGAAAATATTAAAACGCATCTTAAAAAGACAGGGTGTGAACGTGTGGGCCAGATACATCTGGTTCAAGAAAGGGACACTTGAACACTGAAAATTACTTCTGAATTCAAAAAAGTGCTGGAAATTTCCAGACTACCTGAGTGTCTATTAGATTATTCCCTATCCCTGAAGATGGAGGCAGTATATTCCTCCGAAACGTTGGTATATACATACAACTCGACACGGCGTTATAACCCAGAAGACCAATATCGACTCCTCAAGAATGATTATGCTACATGGAGTTCGTTTCTTCACGCCCCCTACATCTCTGCAGTCAAACATTTGTCAAGCTTGAAATCCCACTACGTCGGCTTAGAACGTCTTACCTTCTCTAATGTCTTTGGAATTGTTCACTCAGGCTGCTATTGGCTCAAACACCTGTTGCACGTTGGCTGTCCATTGGCTGAAACCAGGTAAGCGTAAAGACCACTGGTTATGGTGGGGAGACTAGTACCCGTTTCTATGTGAGTTGAGTTCAAGAGAGGTGTATGATATATCCTTAAATCTGCACATAATGTAATGTTTGCTTGACAATGTCTGGAACGTTTCCGTATCCAGATGCAGTATGTACCTAATCCTTCCTAACAGAATGAAACGGAAAATCACAACAGTGCAAATTAATGACGGATATGTTAACTGCATCACTGAATATATTTGTTATTCCTTATGTATGTCGCTTTTATATTAAAATATACATATAGTTGCAAGTTGAGTACAGTCGAGAAAAGGACAAAATTAATTGCAACCAACAATTTCACACGGAATTATTGTGTTCGATGTTTTGACTGCATCAAATCCCTTGAATGGCCAAATATATAATTTATAAGGGAAATGAATAAAGTTCTGATATTTGACCCCACAACTGTGAAGATGTCTATTATGGTGTTCCGGGTTGTGACGCCTTTCAATATTGAAGGTGGTTAACAACATTTCGGAGGAACCTATCGCCTCCATCTTCATAACTGACACAACTCAGGCGTTATAATCCAGAAAAACTACAATTTAAGTTTTGTGCAAATACTGAATAAAACAGGTTTCGTACAACACACACGGATTTTGCAGTTAAGCAAACAGCTGTATGAAGCCAAAGGTAAAATTACAGTAGGCCTATAACCTACTTCCACCCATTGCAAGCTGTTTCTTATTAAAATAATGTCTGTAATTTCTGTTGAAAAGAAACAGTTACTGCCTGCTTAGATTTGGCAGAACAGCTTTACAGCAATAATGAACCAGTATTTTCAAAAAACATCGGCCTGTGTCATACGTAGAATATTGCCACCAAGACGTAAGGGGAGACAGTTCCACGTATTACAGACTTATATTAGATGGGGTAGAATGGTAATCTGCAATTACATTAGACCGTATTTACATAAAAGTTCGAAAACCATCAGAAATTTTGTTTCGTGAGGGTGGTACCATTAGAAGTAACAGCCCGTAAGCCCTGCAGCCTATTATTAATGAACCGACTATAGGAGGCTGGCTGAGTTACTGAAAACATTCCATACGCAGGGGTGAAAGAGGTTTCACGTGAAATGCAAGGGGATTGAATGGTCCCAATATGTTGTCACTGCTAGGGGCATTCCGATTTGGTTCTAGGCTTGTTAACGACACCTTCAAACTGCATTGGATATGCTATACAGCATCGGATGAGAAAATTATATATCATGGTTATAAAATAAGTTGGGCAGAATGTGAAAGTAAGTACTCGTGATAAATAACTTCTGTGCTTGATTCAGAGAGTACATAGCAGAAAATATGTAGTCATTTGGTTTGAAAACTTAAAAGGAACAAATTTCTTTAAGCCACGCTTATGTGTAAGAATAATATTAAACTGATCACAGAGACATAGCACTGAAGTTGTAAATCGGATTCACTTGCCTCAGGATATGAACTCAGCACTTTTGTCGAAGACATTTAGGGTAAAAACCTTAGGATTATATAACAAGAAATGATTTAATATGCGGGAAACTGTAAGCCATGAGACGCACATGAAATTCCCAGCAGAAAACAAAAAGATACAGTCTAACACACACATAGATTTCTTCACCTATCTGATTGCTAATTGCGGTGCAGTGGTTAATACAGCTGCATGTTATTAGAGAAGTACCGGGTTCGAAACTTGGTTCGGAGACCGGATATCCTGACTGAGTTCCTGTGTTGTCACATCTCTTTCTCCATCTTCCAACAGACAGTTTTCCTAGAAATATCTCTACCAAAATTCTATAAGTATATCTTATATCCCACCTCACAACTCAAATGTTATGCCACAGTAACCGCCTTGATTTCTCTACAGGCATAATAATGATGCTAGCTGACCTGGAGGGTCTGCAGTCTCCTACATTATTTTCATAACGAATGCTAATTAAAAAGCCCTCCACTGGACTCAATCCCGAGAAAATTCCAGCCAACGCCCACCCTCACACCATTATGAAATAAATATAAATGTACCTGTGTTAAAACACTCCTTGAAGTAGCATAAGGATGTCTTTTCGTGGACATTAAATGAAAGTTAAAATCACTATAATTCACTCTAATTCTGCACGACTGGCAGCTAACAGATCCCCATAACAGCCACAATATCGCAGTATTATATCCTTTATTTAGCTACTTGTTTGCACATGAGTCTTAAAATAAATTGTGTCGAAATATTGAGAACCCTCTGGCAACGTCAATCAAATTTGACCTATAATAATGATTTCTCCCACTACAGTGCATTTACCTACAGAAATAGACTAGATTCTGTAGCTACTTTCACTATCAGCCTTGAAATATTCCGCCATTTGTCTGCTGAAGTTTTTTACTATAGTTCTCCGTATTAATATTTAGACTTCTTTATTTACTTTGAGAACAGTTTTTTACTTAATCAACACATCCACATGTCTGGCATCACCTAATAACTTTCAAACCAAGTTAAGAATTTTCGTAAGGCTTTGAGCATTATTGCACTAAAGGCCACTCCACATTAATATTTTTCGCCCTTTCGAATAACTAATATCGGAAAAATATACGGATTTGTGTGTTGTGGTACATCATATTCTACACAGGCTTAGCAATATTTCTTATGATAGGAAGTTAAAAAGTCGAGCAAATTTGCTTTGATGTAGGCCTGTATGTTAATTAAGAGTCATATTGGACCTTTATAAACCAAAGCTACATTAGCGCCACTCCTTTTAGTGCAGGGGTCCTTAACCTTTTCCAGGCATCTAAGGTAATTTTCAAAGCAATTTCTTAAAAATGCTACTAACTATTGCAAATAACTCTGCTCCTTGAGCAATCCAGTGTTGCCATTTGTATGCATCCGTCCAGTGTTCATCAGGAACACACGGACATTAATAAAGGGCGTTTGTTTACATCAGAAACATATGTTACATCATACAGAGTGACACAGTATAATACAA